TTCTGCTTTCCTCCTGTTCATATTTTTACTAGTTTGAGTGGGAAACCAATGATTGAAGATCATTGTAAGCCATTCACACAGACAATTGTTTTTAGTGTCCTGATTTTTTTAAGTTAAATTTAATTGTAAAGGTGATGTGCAGAGGGGTTACAGTTACATGTCAGGTAATGAGTGTATATTTGAACAGGGTTGCCCCCTCCTTCATTTTCCCCCACTTTTTCTCCCCAACTCCCCTTTTCCCCAAAGTTGTATAGCTTATTTCCAACATAGGGTCTAGTAAGTATCACTGTTGAATTGGTTCATACTTTTTCCCACTGTTTCTTTCATTCCCCTTCCCTTCCCCAAATCAGATAAACTTATATACAAGACAAATCAAAAACAGTGCCAACAGGGAATAGACCAAAGGGAGGGGAGACAAGAAAGAAAAATAAATAAATAACTTGGAGTTCATTTCAATGAAGCACCATTTTATATGGTCATATACACATAGCTATTGAGCCATTTTGGTTCTCTCCTAAAAATATCCTCTCTTGTTCTCACTGTGCAATGCTTAGAGTGTTGTTTAATTAATCATGTCCAAGTGTAATTATTTGTCTTTTACTATCCAGTGGATTAACTAGTAGAGTTATAGATATAGTCTAGTTATTACAAATGAGGGAAAGCATGCAGCTGATGTTTCTTTGGGCCTGGCTTACTTTGCTTACTATAACTTTTTCTGTCTTCCCATTTCCTTATGAATGGGGCAATATCATTCTTTCTGATGGAAGCATAGAATTCCACTATGTATATGTACCACATCTTCTTGCTCCATTCATCCACTGAGGGGCATCTAGGTTGATTCCATATCTTAGCTATGGTCAATAATGTTGCAATGAACATGGATGTGCTGGTGGCATTAGTGCAGGCTGGTTTGTAGTCATTTGGGTAAATGCCTAGGAGTGGGATTGCTGGGTCATAGGGAAGCTGTATGTTTAGTTTTTTGAGGAACCTCCATATTGCTTTCCAGAGTGGTTGAACAATTTTACATCCCCACCAACAGTGTAGTAGTATTCCCTTTAAGCCATATCCCCACCAGCATCTGTTATTATCAAGAAAACAAATAATAACAGACAATTTTTATTTTTATTACTTTTTATTTTTTAATATTTTTATTGTAAAGATACTGTACATAGGGGTTACAGTTCCATGAGTAAGGTAATGAGTTCATTTCCTATCGAGCATTGTTACCCCCTCCTTTGTTTTTCCCCTACTATCCCTTCCCTCCTCACCTCCCCACTCCTCCCTCCCTCTCACCAGAAGTTGTGAAGCTGTAAAATTTGTTTTCAACATAGTGTCTTGTACATCTTATTAACAGACAATTTTTAAGTGCTATGAAACATCAAAGCAATTTCCATCACTCAGTGAATTCTCTCATCCATAATAAAATAAGATGGTGATGACCTCATAGTTGAAGGGACTCATAACTTGTAAGCCTCATCTTAATTTTGGTACAGAGTCTTCCTGGGGACAAGTGTGCCAGAATTCATTTCTCAACAAAGGCAAACTTTGAAATGCTTTCAAAGATACTGAAAAAACTAATAGGAAAAGGATGTACATGGGACTCCTAATAGTCTTTCAATTAATAAAGTTTGGAATCACCAAGCATTAGGAATTCCCAGCTAATTTTGTATCATGATGTTGGGTATGTGGAAACAGTTACACTGTTTCATTTGTGTGTCTGTATGTTTTAAAATATCATAATAAAAATTTTTAATCTTACTTAAAAGTGGCAACATTGTTGTGCCCAACTCAAATGGCTCTTCTTTTTGTCACCACCATATTGACTATAAATGAGATTAATGATGGATATGTTCTACTTACTGAATGGCTTTTATTTTTACTGAGTGTGTATGTGTGTGCATGCATGTATATGTATGTACACAGATGGAGTGATGGGTGCATGGGGGGAAGAAAGGCTGTGTAAACCAAAAACCCTTCAGAAAAACCATCTTATGAGATCCATTTTTATATCACTAGATTTTAGAATATTAATACATAAGATTTGACTTGTTGGAATTTGTCTTAGGATGAATAAAGTGGAGAGAATTCTAGTTGCAGAAAATTCTCTATACAAGAAGATGGTCCTCCTGATATATTTTTTCATGATAGTATAAAATATTGGGAAGTCCTAGCTGGGCATTGGTGGCTCACTCCTCTAATCCTCGCTACTCAACAGGCTGAGATCTGAGGATCACAGTTCAAAACCAGCCCGGGCAGGAAAGGCTATGAGACTCTTATCTCCAATAAACCACACAAAAAACCGGAAGTGGTGCTGTGGCTCAAGTGGCAGAGCACTTGCCTTGAGCTGAAGGGCTGAGGGACAGTGCCCAGGCCCAGAGTTCAAGCCCCACAACCGACCAAAAAATAAAAATAATAATATATAGATAGATACATACATATGGAAGTCCTTTATGGCCAATCACAGGGAAATAGCACAGTAAGTATTTCTACACTCATCTACTATAATCATCAAGATAATGGTTAGGCAAGTTATGCTTAAAATAGTAAGAAAAATCAGTACATATTTGACACATAGTAAGATTACAACCATGAAAATAATTTACAGAGAAAAAAACCTTGTTTTTATTAGCTAAGGTGGCTATGTGATCACCATCTTCCTTCTCAACCTCATTTTTATTTTTCCAATGGGAATCTCCAGCAGTTAGAAAAATGGAACTCCCACAGTGAATCCCTCTCCCAAGTGGCATGGGCCTGTGAGACCAAGCAAAGGTCTCTTTAATTCTACAGGGAACTTCATTTTTTGAGCGCAAGAGAAGTAAGCAGTATCTCTTGTTGGTTCCTAGCAAATTTTTTCACTGTAAATCAGATGCATTGACAAAAACTGAGTCATAGATGGAGTCAAAGAAATCCACCTGCAGTGCATCTTTGTTACCAATGGCACTTTTGCCTGGCACTTTCAACTGTTAACATGGTGGTGATCATTGAAGTACATCTTTGTCCCCACCTTCCCCCCCCCCAGAGAAGTAGGACTTGGCATTAGCCCTGTGATCCCCCACCCCTGGCCTCAGGTTGTCTTATCCAGGAGCGTGAATAGACTTGGAACATCAAGAGCCAAAGTGGTTCTTCTACAGATGTAGTCTGCTGAATGGCAGCTGTGTCATTGTCCCACCCACTGAGCCCAGCTACTTCCTATGACGTCAGTTTGACCATGATAAATAAAAATCACATTAAGAGGACTGGAGGCCATCAAAAATGATACCTTAACACATAAATCCCTTTCCATCCCACCCTTGGCACATCCACAGCCTTGCCACTACATTTGTCCTCTTATGAATGATAGTAAGCATGTTGATGACCTCGATTACAATAACTTTTATGATAATCTGGGGCATGCACAAAGGTTGAATGAAAAGAAAAAATCCAACCCAGTATTCAAATTGGCCAGTGCTTTCTCTTGTCTGATATAGATAATTTGAGGCAACAGAGAGGATACTTCTTATGTTTTTTATGTTTATAGAAAATTCAAGTCCAATATTCTATGTCCTTGAATCATATACTATTTCAAGCCTATTTGTAGATTACTCTGGTGAACATACATTTATTGGACCAGTTCTAATGGGGTATGCTAGAGTTATACACCACCCAAAGCATTATTGTATAAAATCAAACTTTGAATGGAACCCTGGAAAAGCAAGGCACTAACCTCGGTGCTACCACACTGTTTCATTTTTATCAGTCATCTTTCTTCTGGAGCTAAGTTAGATAATTGCTCTGCTGGTTTCTTTGTTTGGGAGTAGACATAACTCTGTCTTTCATCTGTATATTTATTCACTGGACTTGAACAGCTTTTAGTCCTCTTTAAAAATTAATTTGACTTTAATATCTAGTTATCTAAGACTCCCCAGAGCTAAGATGAAATCACACTGAGGGAATTTTGATCTGACAAATGGCCATTATACCGAAGCCTTTGATCCTCTGCTGTGGTGTCAGTTCACAGCCCTTGTGCAGCTGAGCTGTAAGCCAGATCAAAGTGGGCATGATTAATGGTCAGTACCAAGAGAATCTTGGCACTTCCCAAAAGCCATAGGTTGCTGCACCTATTAGGTAGAGATTAGAGCTTCTTAAATGTGTATCCTACTAGAGAGATTGGATGAGAGTGGAGGTAAACAGGAGGTGGAATGATGTTTTGCCTGGGACCCTGCTGTATGGTGGTTTCACTTCTTGTTAAGCAACATGAAGCCCTTTGCAACCTAAGGTTGACTTTCTCCCTCTTGATTTCCGTCTCTGCTACCTGCTGGCTATTTGGCTTTTTAAACATTAAGAGAAAAGCTGAGGAAGTGGTGGTGCTGTAGCTCAAGTGGTAGAGCGCTAGCCTTGAGCTGAAGAGCTGAGGGACAGCTCTCAGGCCCAGAGTTCAAGTCCCATGACCAACGAGAGAGAGAGAGAGAGAGAGAGAGAGAGAGAAGCTGGATACTAGTGGCTCATGCCTATAATCCTAGCTACTTAGGAGACTAAGATCTGAAGACTGAAGTTCAAAATTAGCCTGGGCAGAAAAGTCTGTGTCTCTAGTTAACCAGAAAAAAAAAGCCACAACTAGAGCTGAGGCTCAAGTAGTAGAGCACTAATGTTGAGGAAAAAACAAAAACAAAACTAAGGTGCAGCACCCAAAGAAAAGAAAAGGTTAAGATTTTATTTCATCGCCTTTCATTTTTAAAAAGTAGATACCTAAAACACAGGATGGATTATGTTGAGAAAGTTGGAGACAAAAACAGGCAAGGTTGTAATGATCATTAGAAAATATTGCAGTGATAGTTAGACAACTAATCTCTAAAGATAAATGTCTTAAAAAAAAACAAAAGGAGAGATGCCCCTTGTATGTTCTGACCTTGATTAAAAACAGAGAAGTCTGAAGTATGTAGACTTCATCAGCAGGCTCCAAGTATCACCCATCCTTGGAAGGCAAGCGTTCTCTAACTCTGCAATTTCCTTCTTTCTGACAGATGGGGAGCTCTCCATATCCAATGAAGATGACTCCCTGGAAAATGGGCAGTCCTTGAGCTCCAGCCAGCTGTCTCTGCCTGCACTGTCAGAAATGGAGCCGGTCCCCATGCCCAGGGATCCCTGTTCATACGAGGTGCTCCAAGCTTCAGACATTATGGATGGGCCAGGTAATGCCAGAGTGTCACACTGGGAACCTCTACTCCCACTGGATTTGGGGTTCTAGCTTTTTACATATAAAGAAAGATCTGGAAACTGGGATGAAACTGACCCAAGTATTAGTTTTTCATACATACAGAGTTTAAGAAAATAGAGATATTTACCTGTGTTGTTCTCATTTTAAAACCCATTTTTCTCACTTGATTTATGGCTTGTTTGGGGAAAATGGATGATTTTTAAATGTCATTGTTTTGTTTTCTAACACTCATCTCTATTAAGATAAAGGTGAAGCATGCTATATTTCTATATTTGCCTATTCAAAAGGCCTGAACAACCAGGCTCACACCTTTAATCCTAGCTACTCAGCAAGCTGAGGTCTGGAAATTGCTGTTCAACGCCATCTAGGGAAGAGACATGAGATTCTATCACCAATCAACCACACAAAAGAAAGCCAGAATTGGAGCTGTGGCTCAAGTAGTAGAGTACCAGCCTTGGACAAAAAAGCTAGAGGATAACACCCAGGTCCTGAGCTAAGCCCCAGTATTGGTGCAGGGTGGGGGAAGAAGGCAGGAAAGGGCCTAAACACTCTTTAATTTCTAGTCCCAGTGTACCAGACAATGGTTCTATCAATTCAGTAAATTGTATCAATTTAGCGGATGCAGTCAATTAATTTAATTGCTCATTCAATCCTGTACAATTTATTGCTTAATCAGGAGCCTACTGATAGATATATACAAGAGATATATTCTTATACCATCTGACTGAACATCGCCTCCCTCTTTAATCCAGAGTTGCCTCTGTGCCCAACACTCAGCTTTCGAGAGGTGTGCAGAGTTACCCCAGTCAGTTCAACTATCAGTCACTAACCGCCCCTTTCCCCCGACAGACAGGACTGGTACACACTGTTAGCAGATGGCTCTGTGGGAAGGAAGCTTTTGACTATCTGGTGTACTGGTAGAAAACCCATGTCCTTTCTGCATGCTGTGTGCAAATTCCATGCCCACAGGAGCTCAGGTAGGAGGAGAGGAGAAATGGTGGTATACCCCCATGGATTCCCATTCTCCACAGTGGCCTGGAGAGTTATTGCTCCATCAAGGTGTTCATCACTGGTAATAGGAATATCCTTTGAGATGGAGAGACCTTGAGGCTTCTAGGTACTCTGCGAGTCTCTGTTGCTTGCAGAATGCTGATCCCCTGGCCAAGAAGAAAAGAAGGAGTCATTTATAAAGTTTTCTAATTGTGGCAGTGAGGGAAGGCAGAGAGAAAGATGTACAGCTGAATTACAGTTTTCCTTCCAGAGTTTTCTAACAAGAGCAGTGGATTTTTTTTTTTAATTCAGCCTTCCTTGTGACATTGCATCAGGTGGGTTTGAATGTGTTAGTGAATCTGTCATCCTAGCCCTGTCACAGGGTTTCACCCTCACCACACAGGCTGCCAGATTGAGAGGAAAGTGCGTGTGCCACCAACCCATCCCTTGACAGTTTGCAGGCCTCTGGTGCCTGTCCATGGACCTCTGTGGTCTGGAAGAGGCAGATTCAATGCAGAGCAAAGAGAAATAGGGGAATCAAAACAACGGAAAATATGGCTAGAATGGAAGCTGTTATAATTGAAACATAGTAAAATCTGGGCATGCAAGGGGGGAAGGGAAATGAGAGCTATCAAGGAGTGGTCTCAAGCATCCTTTACCTTGATGGAGTTTATAGGAGGTGGCTGGACCTTTCCACTGCAGTTCATCTGGAAGGTGGCTGTTCAGTGCTGGGTCACAGCCTGTTTGTGTCAGCTCTCCAGACTGTGAACAGGACCAACCAGTGTACCAAATGAGAGCCAAGACAGAGGGAAAACTTAGCAGGCAACATTGAGACTCTTTAGTTTGACCCAGTCTCTCTTCCTTCCTGGAGCCAACATTTGGTTCCTCTGGTAGTTCAGACACACTTCATTCTTGCTCTACTGCATTTGCCATCCTGTTCATTGTGGTTTTAGACCCTTGAGTCCCAGCATTTGTAGTAGACCTTGTATGATGAATGCCAAGTTTGGAATGGAGTCTTTCACCTCTCTCCTCTTTTTTTTTTTTCCTTTGCCTCCCATCTATGCCCCTCCACCACCCCTGCTGCTTTCATGGATTTCCGGTGTCCTCCCCTTTCTCCACACATACTTGATAACCTGAAGCAATCAGTCGCTCTGCCGTCTTGCTAAGCCAGCTCGCGTCCCTGTCCTGTGTTGCTGGCTGGCCCATGCCATCCCCACCTGAGCTGCGTTCGTGTAATGTCTCCTGTGTATCATGTGGTTGTCCCCTCAGTGTCTGAAGAGAGTCCCTCTGCCAGTGAGTCTGGAGTCCTCCTGTCCCAAGATCCTTCAGCCAAACCAGTCCTGCTACTGCCCCCCAAAAAACCTGCTGCTTTCCCTGGAGACCATGAGGACACCCCAGTGAAGCAGCTGCCCCTTCTCAAGCAGCCCCCGGCCCTGCCTCCCAAACCCACTGCCCGGATTGCCAACCATTTCACAGGTGAGTCTGCCATGCCCTCCCATGGCACCTGCCCCTCCTGCCCTTCAAGGGAGAATTGTTTCCTCTTTCGGGCTTGTTATCTAAGTCCTGAAAATAGATCTCTGGTCAGTTGCCCTGTGGGGCATTCGGGCGTTTCTGTGTACGTCTTAGTACATGCAGTCATGACCAGGGTTTGTGTTTTCCTTTGTGTCAAGAAGCATTCGATATACACCTGCCAGCCATGTGCCAAGAGCCTTCTGTCCTGTGTATCTGTAAATATGTACCTTGTATTTATGTGGCGAGTGTAAGAGTAGCTTGGGCAAACCTAAATTCAACATCAACATGTTTGCAAAAATTAAAACCAGTGCCCTGTTTCTTGCATGATGAGTTTGTTGAGGCTTTATATGTTGTGTCCTGAAGTTATTCATCTGAAGCTTAGTATATTCCTCCTATTAAAATTCATTTTGTTATTGTCAGCCCTCTTTAAAAAAAGGAAAGGCAAAGCAAAGGCAGTGATGTACAAGTTTGTAGGGGAAAAAAAATTAGTGGGAGAAGAATCAGCTTAGCCATGCTGTCCTAAAATGACTTTGATATTTTTGTTTGTAGTGTTCACAAGGTGCACACCATTGTTTGTGTCCGTTGGGCCTCCAATGAGATTGTATTTCAGTGCTCATTTGCACCCGATACCACTTTGTGACCTAAAATCATGGTGTGATCAGAGATAAAAAGGTTTCTGAAAGAACCTTGATGATAACTGACTGCACTTTTACGATATGATTGGTATTTTTACAAATGATATAGACTTGATCTGTTTTGTACCTTGTATTATGTAATGAGGATGGAGCTAGGGGGAAACACTCAACTTGTAGAAAAACTGAGGTTCAGACAAAAGAAGTAGATTCTTCAGGAACTTGGTGGAGGCAGGATTGGACCCTGCTTTCCAACTCCTAGCCCTGTGGCTGTTGTCTCCTTGGGAGCAGGATGACCTCACACAGTACTTGTGTTTATTACACTCAGTTCCAACATAGGCTTGAGCTAATTCTCTGTTGTTCATATCCATCCCAACTGGATGTTCACAGAGTGAAAGAACCAATGTCCACCCAAAGGAACTACCCAATGCATCAATAACACTTCAGTTCAGTGCCCTAAATTTAAATTCAGAAGAAATTGCAAAGATGAAATAGTTCCACAATCCCCTAAGACACACCCACCATCCTTCTGTTTATCCACCAAATAAGAATTGAATATCTCTGCATATACTGTATTACTATGCATTGATAAATCATGAACTAATTTTTATGTTAATACATAGTCCCCAGCACAATTTTATTGGCTGCTTGTTGAGAATCAAGACTTACTTGTTTAATTCTTTAGATCTTTTCTAGCTTCTCTATTATAAAAATATACATACAACATTGAACAACAGCCTCCATAAATCTTTATGTGTCTCTTTTTCCAGTTTCTAGAATCCAAATTGCTAAGTCAAAGCTTAAGCCTTTGACATCAAATTTACCTTGCGAGATTAAATATGGTACAAAATAATTCTCATGTACGCATGTAGCACATACTTATTCAATATAACTACCATGGACAGGATGCTGCGCTGGGTATGAAGGCAGAATACATCACTGTAGCAGGATAATGAATACATACACAGTCAGATCTTGATTCCCATGGCTTCCACAACTGGGATTCAGCCAACCACACATTCAAAATATTTGGAGGAAAAAAAAAAGTCCATCTGTACTGAAATGTATACAGACTTTTTTCTTGTCATTAGTCTTTAAACAACATAATGTGACAACTGCTTTACAGTGTTTGCAAATTGGATTGGGTGTTCCGTACACTGTAAATTATGTAGAAATGATTTGAAGTACATGGAATGATGTGTATAGGTTCTGTGCAAATACTGCACTGTGGTTTCTGATTCATCCTTGAGGTACTGATTCCAGGCTTCTCCAGAGGAGGAGAGAAGGAAGGAGAGAGAGAGGAAGGGAGAGAAAGAGGGAGGTAGGAAGACAGAGGTAAAAGCTAGAATGACTATCATTCCAAGTGTTATTTGTGGTTCAGTTCAGCCTCATAAAGGTGCCCTTGTAGAAGACTGAAACTTGAATACGAAGGACATTTATGCAGAGGATTCCAGAAAAGAAGACCCTGTACAAAGGGTCAAAATGGGCACTGTTTGGGGTCATTGAAGAGTTGGTTCGGCTTGGCTGGAGGCTTCATTGGGACGTGTACTGAGAGACAGGGTTCACTAGATGAGAGTTTACAGAGGTTTAGAGTTTATTATTGAGCATGGAGTGATGTGGAAACTAACCTTTAAAACATGTCCCTGGGTCACTGTATAGAGAATAGAGTGAGCAGAAATGTCAAAGTCACAGTTGAGGCCTACCACAGTGGCCACTGAGACCAGGTCTCACCTCTGTCCCCAAAATCATGAGTGGAATTAAATGGAATGTTCTGGGCCAGAGGAGCTACTGCAGACATGGCAGTGTGAGCTGGCAGATGTCTGTGGACAGTAGGAGAAGA